TAGTGTGCATTAAGTCTGTGACACCGTAACTTTCGAGGTGTTGGTGCAGGCAGCCTGATGAGAACTGAGCTTGGGTTCGAGACATAGAAGAGAGGAAACAAAACATGTGCCTCTCAGTCCCACGCCTCTCATTTACTGCAGAAAGACATCTTTGGAGACATGGAGCTTGTCCATCATCTTGTCCAGACCTTAGGGGCTCAGAACCTGTTGATTTGGCCCAGAAAGCTTTGCCCCCTAAAGAGCCAACAAGACTCACTCTCTCACTCACCTCCGTTTTCCTTCCTTCTGGGAGAAGCTAACCACCATGCTGGGAGGATTTCAGATAGGCTCCTGGGGAGACTGTGTGGACAGAAACCAACTCTAAGTTGTTAGTTAACTGACCAAGTCAGTTTGAGAAGCTACTAGCTAACCCCTAGCCTGCAAATCTTTCACCTGAGGGCTCAGACATCACAGAGCCACGACAAGCCTTGCCGTGCAAGATTATAAATGATTACAAGGTTGTGTCAAACCAACAAATTTTTGGACTGTTTGTTAGCTAGGAAAAAAAATAACAACCACGAACCTGCGATTCCTTTGCCGTTTGCCCTTGCAAAGTTCCATATAACTGTTGGTCCTCAGTTTTCCTGACTTCTGTACTGTATTGGATTGGTGACAATGATTTCAATTACAGTACTAAACCACTTGCCTGTTGATATAGAAAACTTTGGATTTGATCTCTGCTGAAACCCATCCTACAACTGGAATTTTCCACTGCATTTGTCAGTACAAAGATTTAATCTGAAACATATATGAAACAATGACGGACACAAAAACAATGCAGTGTGCCCTGAGAGATTACATAGCAGCCCATTAAGTATTACAGATAAGAATGGGATTATCAGGCAATCTCAGAATGCACGTCGGTGAGCCCATAGCAAGGGTGCCCTGATTTATCGACTGGAAAGTCAGAGGGGCCCAGGGAATTCTCTTTTCACAGGAATTCTAGCTTTGGAAAATATGTTTTAGGAGTCTGGCGTCTTATTTCTTCCCTGTAGTTGCACTTAACAATTGCAGCCTACTAGTGTTTTAAATCCATGTTTTAAGAGGTCACAATAAACCAAGGGGCCATTTGTGTTCCAAAGATGACACACAGTGGGTAGCTTGTGTTATATACAGTCATTGAAAAAACAAGCAACCAGGCCTTTGTGCCTGCTGCTTCAGCACCGCAGGGAGTGCAAGGGGCTCCTTGGGTCCACTTGCCTAAACATTATTGATGTGTTGGAGTTCTTTCTACCATCAAGACCAGAGGACACTATCCGAGGCATGTTATGAAACATTAACAAAAAAATACATTGTGAGTTTTCATTTTCAGAGCCAAAGAGAGGGGGGTTCCTGACAGGCCAGACTAGATGCCGTAAAACTCGGCCATTTTACATGGTGGCTTCCTGTCACTGAAGGGATGGGTGGCTGTTTGAAGCTAAGTCTAGATGATAATAACAAGACTTATGTTGGTCTTTCTTTCTTTCTTTCTTTCTTTCTTTCTTTCTTTCTTTCTTTCTTCCTTTCTTTCTTCCTTCCTTTCTTTCTTTCTTTCTTTCATCAGTCACAATATTTCAGATATGTTACAATGACTTACATGGGTAATTTAATTAAGTTATTTGTTTTTTAATTCAAATAATCTCTGAATTTTATCCTTTGGTTTTTGGATAAACCGGTCAATAATTTTCTTTTAGCAGTATGGTAGAAATAATTTTCTTAATTTTGTGTATTTCTTCACATGAACTTTGCTTTCTCAAAATAATTCACAAATACACAATCACTTTGTACAGCTATGAAACTGAACTTTGAAAAAGACAAATGTTACAAATCGGGTATTAAGAGAACAAGGGTTTGGAGAGCAGGCCACGTGTAGTTCAGGTGGCCTCGCATGCATGAGGCTGTGCATTCTGCCCTCAGCACCAGACCAAACCGAGCTAAAAGACAGTGGCCACAGCAGCAGAAGCAATAAGAAAACAACTTTTTTTTTTTTTTTTAGTTATTTTACCAAAGGAACTTGCATTTTTTTTTTAAAGCCAAACAAGAACTGGAAGCGGGGGAAGGATGTCAAATGATAGACTTTCTTCTACAATGCAATGCTAATCCCGCTTTCTTTGGAGGGAGATCAATGGGCTAGTTAACCCCGAGAGAAAAAGCAGAAGTTACAGAGGAATTAACAGTCTCGGTTTGGCCTTTTCTAGCCAGGAAGACTGGAGTCTTGCTGGATTACAAGCAGAGATACCAGTTGATCCAGGGGTTAATGACCCTGTTCTCATTCCTGCTCACATTCCTTGGTGTGCCTCGTTCTTTGTGATCCCTGGATATGGGTTGGGGATGAGAGGTTGCAGAAGCGACAGTGTTGCTGGATAAAAGCCACACAGCTTCTGAATTGGTTGTAGCCATGTGGCTACCATGGATGAGGACCTCATAACTAGAGGCAAATACTGGAAACACATATTCTATGACCAGAGGAAGCTATAACGGGAATAAAACCAAATAAGACCCAGTTAACGGGAGACACTGCACAGAGTTCAGGAATGAGGGGCAGGAAGGCAATGAGCCCATTCGGCCTCCTTTCCTCCCCAGCCTCACAAGGGTCTGCTCATACTGGTAATTTATGGCATAGCATCTATGCTAATGTCTATGCTAGGTGTTAAATATTGTTTCTGCACATATCACTTCTTCCTAGAAGTCCCTTTCAGGGAAAGTCAGAACTCTTAAAGACACAGTTAATTCCTAGGATAGTGACTACTCATCTAAAGAGGCTACTACATATCTGGCTCAGATTGACCATATTTTGTCTGGAATAAACTAAATTGCCCTTTATTTTACTGCCAAGTAAAATGGGGGATAATGGTGAGAGGGTATCAGATCTATTTAATTGTCATGAACCAGGGATTCTGTATAAAATTTTAAAAGTTTGCAACTTTGTGAAAAAAAAAATCCATTGGGCAGGCAGCAAAGAATCATAGGCCACAGCACCACCCAGGCCTTTAGCACACAAGAGTGTACGTCAGTGGTGACTTTTGTCTGTTTCTCTCATGGCTGTATTTCCAGTGCCCTGGATAAGTCACGGTCGTACAGCAGCACTCAGTAGGCATTTGCTGAAGAAATGCTAAGTTCAGGCAGCTCTTCCATAAGAGTCTCAATGTAAGTTCATCAGAAGCAGAAAGTGATGTTACCGGTCCCCTGGGGACTAAACCCAAGGCTGAGCAAGTCCTTCCAGTCTCTGGCTCCTGCTCCCTCCAATTTCCAGGTCTCCTGCTCTCAAACACACAATTTTGCTGCTGTCAACACTTGAAAACACACAGCAAAAGCTTAAATTAACAAGCTTTTAAAAATTCAAATAAAAGTAAAAACTACGTAAAACTAATGGGCAGTGTTAGAAGTCGTGGCAATGGGTATAGTGTTCTGACTTCAGGAGTGGGTGATGGGGATTTCTGGTGGGCTTGGTTTGTTCCGTGATGGGTCTGGGTATTGAATGCTCAAGTCATTATGATTTGATAAGCTGTGTGCTCAGGACTGGGCAGTTTTGTGTATTTATGTTACATATGGGCATGTCGAGTGAAAAGGTGTGCTGACAACCATGTTCCTAGACTTCTGCACCATTAGAAAATGTAAAAAGTTCACGTGGCTATTTTTTTTTCTGCAAGGATTTTCTGAATCCACTCACAATATAAAAATTACAGCTAATTTTTAGTCTAGTTAGAACTTCCTATTAGTTCTCTAATTTTAATGATGACCAGTAAATAGAATTAAATATCTTTCTCTTCACCTTTTTCTGTTGAAAAACTAACACAGAGGAGCTGAAAAAAACAAAACTTAAATCTACCAGGTAACGACATAGTGTTAATTTCCCGTCTTCTTACGTGCTGCTCATTTGGCTCCTGTGTTATTTCTGTATCTTGTCTCTTGATCTAGCTCCTCTTTCTATGTCTGAACTGTTTTAAAACAAAAGTTTTAGAGGTATTGGATGCTGCTAGCTTAGTAGAAAATAAGACTGTGTGAGACACCCTGGGTTTGATCCCCAGCAACACACACACACACACACACACACACACACACACACACACACACACACACACACGGCAGACAAAGGAGGATGTGTTAGACGGTGTCAATTGATTATGCATTGTGTTATTTGAGCACCAACACTATTTTTTTCACACAATCTGCATACCCAATCCACCCATTTTCCAATCCACCCTCTCGCATTAAAAAGTAGCATCAGGTCTGTATTTGTAGTTGTAATTTGTCTAAAACAAACACAGCTTTTCCTCACTGGCTTGAGAAATAAAAAATCAGCATTCAGGGACACTCGCTCAGCTCACTTGTTGCGCCTGTTTGTCCTGTTTCTTCAGCTTCTTTCTTTCCCCTAAAATGCTGACCCTCCCCCACTCCCTTCACCAGCCTACCCCGCTTTTTCATAATATTGAAATTTTTCAACTCTAGGTTACTGGCAACCCTTCTGTTTGTTTTTAGATGTGCATAATTCGGCTCAATTTTCCAGGCTCATTTCACAAAATCATTAAAGGTTTTCAGGAGCACGTGTATCAACAACTGAACCAAATCCTCATTTGGGGCTATTAGTTAGTCAGAATAAGACACCAGCGCTCCAGCCAGGCACCAGATGTTGTTGGTGAGGGGAAACATAAAGAGCTTTAAGGGCTTTTTAAATCTTACACTTTCACTTTGGTCTTATAAGAACTAATTGTGACAACTCACGCTCGCAAATGTGTCACAGGAGCCTTCCCTCACATCGACACCACGCACTGCGGAAGGGACTTGCTTACGCATCTGCAGTTCAAACGACCTGAAAACTCACTGACAGCCTGGGAGGATATTTTGAAGTTTGAAATGATCCCTATATAAATAGAACGGATCAGCATAACTTTGGGATAAAATTAGCCGGCAGTTTGTGGACTCTGCAGGCTTGCCTGTGTGCTGGGTGCTGCTCTCCTGGTAAATCTCGGCTCAGCTTCCACATGGCGCAGAGGACGGACGGCATCATCACCCCTTCCAGCAAAGCTGGAGCTGCCAAGTTAGTTAAGAAAAATTTCTTGGAGGCAATAAAGTCAAATGACTTCAGAAAACTGGAGACTATTTTAATCCAGAGGCAATTAGATGTGGACACAGTGTTTGAAGTTGAAGATGAGAATATGATTTTGGCATCTTACAAACAAGGTAAAAATTGTAGAGGTGTAATTGTGAAATTGTTATAAAATGAATTTTTAGGTCAGTAGGTCAGTTTTTGTCTTCAAAGCATTTGTTCTTAATGTTAGTGCTTGTTTAGACATTGTTTCTAATTTTTAATCTTTCCTTTTAAAACTAGAATGTGTTTGGGCTGTTTTATATATTATATACACATTGCTGTCTGTCTGTGCACATACACGTTTGGGCTGTTTTATATATTATGTACATTGCTGTCTGTGCACATTTCTGTGGACTGCTCTTTGCCATTCTCGTGCCTGGAATTCGGGACCCTGGGTGGCTGCGTTTGTCATGCACGGCGTGTTAGGTCTTCTCTTGTGACTGTAGTGGTATAGAATAAAGAAAACATCTCTGACTCTCCTTAAAGACCGCTGAGGTCTACGCGCGTGACAATGTGGCGGTTGGGGGTCAGGCTGCTGAGTCTTTGCTAACAGTCAGTTACGGATACACCATCTCTCTGTCTGTGTGAATGAAAATGGGGAATTCTTTTCCACCTAGAGATTTAATGAATGGAGAAAGCCGGGCCACAGGCACCTTCATGGTCTGCGTCATTTTTATGGGTTTCAGTGCAGAAACAAACGCTGAAGTCAAAATATCACAAAGTTAACTTTTATTTTTTCCTTTCTTCTGTACTACAATAATAGTTCAAAAAAATTTCAAGGGCTTAGTTCAGAATCTCTGCTTTGTACATAAAGAAAAAAATAGGAAAATGACAATTAGAACAGAAAATTTTTTATTAAGGTTTCTTTTCACTTTCTGGAATTCCTGCTTAATGAATAAGAAATAGATTAACAAACTCATTCTGATTTCTCAAATCAACTAGTTAATTGGAAAACTTAAGTAGTTAGGCCATCTGGTGAGCAAAGAAATAATCTGCTCACCCCCATTTTTGCCTAAGAAAAGAGGTGGGAAAATCTTGGGAGTGGGGGTGGGGATATATGTTTATGCCCAATATAAATCTGTTTTCTATTCATACACAATCATTAGAGGCACCAATTTCCAGATACAAATGCTAGTAGCATTTATTTCTATCTAATTCTCTGCAGTTCTGGAGGAAGCATAAAATAGTGGAGACCAGTTGCTGCGTTTTTGATTTGTGCTTCATGATTAATTTTCATTGATGTTTTGTCTGAAAAATGAAGGCGTCTAATTTTCTTTTGTGCAAAGTTGAAGGGATTCTGCTGAAGGAAAAAATTATATGCTACATAATTAGATGGCTTGCGTCTTGTGACTTTATTTAATGATACTATCTAAATGATAAGTATATTTGAAGAGATTTTAAAATGTCTATGTGTGCCATACAGAGTAAGACCCAGATTCGAGCCAGGGGATAATCTCCTTGACACTGAGCTGCATAGACCACCTTCTCTTATTTCCAGAGTAGGTAAACCTGCAGACAGCACAAGGACTCATAAGTTCTGAGAAGGGAACTTGGAGGTGTGTGCTCTTGGCCAGCAGACACAGATTCTCTCATTTCTCACGGTGTCATAGCCCCCAGATGGGAAGAAACTGTGTATCCATTGTCAAAATAAGCGAATTCCTGTGGTTCTTATGGAGTTAACTTTTTATTGATGGTGATGACTGTTTTTCTAGCATTCAGGTCTTGGAATGTGGCTTTCAATCAGGGGCAGAAATTTAAACTGTCCCCCAAAGAAAAGAGGGAATCCCAGTCTTACAGAGGTGTCTGTCAGAAATTTATACCTTTGGGACCGTCCATGAAAGCAGCGTGCATGTGGGCACACAGTGTGTATAGAAATAATTTTACTCTCTGTTTATCATGAAGAGTCAGGCACTGCCTCCAGTCGTATGCCTTAGGGTAAAATTCCCACTTTCTCCAAAGTTACTGGGAACTTATTTTAGGTGCCGCCAGGCTTCACGCCAGCCCCTTCACTCCGAAGGGTAGGCATGGAAGCAGTAAATAGTACCCTAGCTGCTGGCCCAGTAAAGTGGGCCTAAGTGCTGATATCAGTGTCTCACCTCACAAAGAAATTCTCAGAACAGTGAGGGACTGGGCGGTCTACAGCTGGGTAGGTAATTATTCAGTCAGCTCCTTCTGGGGTTTGTCTAAAGGACGTGAACCACCTCTGTGTGGCTTTGAAAGATGTGTGGCTGGGTTACTGTTTCTGATACTTTTTTTTTCATTAAGTAAAAGCAGACTTTTAGGACATTGAAAGGCTACATGTTATTCTTTGATTTTTTTTTTAAAGTACAAGGGAAGGCTGTACTCCTAAAAGTGAAAGAGAAAACTTCACAAGACCCCCCCCCCTGTGAGTTTGATTCATTTTTATAAAAGAGTGGGGAAAGCCCCGTCACTCACACCCACTCTCAGAAAGGGGACATAGTGGTTTATTCTCAAAGAGTGGGTACTTCCTGCTCAGGTATCTTCGCAGAATAAATGAAGCAGCATGGAATCTGGGCGACAGATAGATATGGTCACCTTTAAACTTTCTTACACAGCTGAGAAAATTATTCTTTATTCAAAAGTTGATTATCGTCAGGGAGTTAGCTGGTCTGCAATTAACCTTTAGGTAATCTTACGTTCCTTTAAATCATGTTATATTCTTTTTCATGGGATTTCAAAAGGTAATTGAATTTGTTCCTAAATACAGCATGTGCCTCTAACGTCGAGGTCACTGTGTGAGTGCTGGACGCAGAACTCAGAACGCCACTGGCAAAGAAATGGCCGTAGAATGTAAATATCCCCAAATTCTAGGCTAAAGTGGATTAAGTGTACCAGTCATTCAAAAATGACCCCCCTAAGAGACTGTGTATTTTGCAAGGATTGGAGAGTGGAGGTATTGGGTCAGAGGGCTCTTTTCTTCTTGAAAAAGTTTCACCAGTGAAGGCCACACTTAATTCAGTGCCCACAGCAGTTCTCAGTCTGTGCTGTGCTGGGGTTTACCTTAGCACTCATTCTTCAAGTCAGAGCTCACTCTCACCCCAGCACCCTGCAGTCCTCAGCTTTACCATGGAATCTTCAGAGAAAAATCTCGGTTTGCTCACTTTAAAAGTCCACTGTTCTCTCTTTGGAAAGCTAACAATCAAAATGGGCTGGCCTGCCTTTGGGGAAACTCCCAGGGAAGAACAGGCAGAGACGGGCAGTTTTGAGAACAACAACAACAACAACAACAAAAACAGCAAAATAGAATCTACTGGACCATCATCTCCATCATCTCACTTCTGATCATTCATTTACTGTGTGAATGTGAACCACAACTTATCGTGGAGGTGAGAAGACACTGGGTGGTTCTCTCCTCCCACCATGTCACCACGATAGCCTTGAGGTTCACACTCAGGTGCTCAAGCCTGACAAGGAGCCCTAGCTCAGCCACCTCGATGGCCCCAGGCCCCAGGCCCCAGGTCACCCTTTTAAAATACAATGACACATGAATACCCAGTGAGTTTTTAACTACTGCATGGGACCAGCAGGCTAATCTTTAAGGGCTGTCCTGACATCCTTCATTCTGAGACAAGTCAAAACTCTTTAGGACAACGGGGAAATGAGAGGTCTGTAGGGTTTCACCTCATCACGCTGGTTCCCACTGTTAGCCTCTCTACCAGAGCCATGGACGGATGTCAAAACGGCTGTTTTTCAAGCTTTTCCCAGCTATACACTCTGGTTCTTCTGCATGCTGCAGTTGTGTGCTTCGGCTTCCTACTGAGACATACAGGATAACAAATCTCTGGTTGGGATCTCCCTAGTCAGCAAGGCTAATGAACACGCTTTATTAATCCGTGTAACAATGCACTTTAAGTGTTTTGTTTATGACCCATGGCTTCTTCCGGTGCCTGGCATGGTAATCATATTTTTAATTAAAATAACCAATGAATTTGTTTTCACTTGGAAAGTTTCTGGCAGGCATTCTATCTAGTTTCTTAAGTAGCGGCTGATGTCCAAAGTTATTGTGGGAGCTTCTTGTTGTTAACAAATGATCTTTTTCTCACCCCTTTTCCTCCTGTTTTCACAAACTTAGCTTTCCTATTTTTCTGTTACAGCCCAGGGGGCTTCCTCTTTCCTAGTTGCTAGAAAACTTTCTCTCTTCAAAACTTTATGTTTCGAGCTTGTTTGCCTCTCCCATTCTCTAGGGAGTCTCTGAAAATTATCCCGAGAACATTAGCTAGCAAAACAGCAGCCTGGAATTGCGCTTGGGTCTATATTCCTTCAGGGCTGTGTAAATACGCAGACACGGTCAGAGCAAATGCCTGTAATCCAGCTGCAGCAGTGTGTGCGAGCTTGGTGGCAGTCAGAGGCTTCTCCAGCATGGGGCTGGTTTTCCGTTGATAACATTAGCGCTGATAACTGTTGCAGAGCCTGGGCCCAGCTTTAGTTTAACCAGAGATGTGTGTCCTCTCCAAGTGAGCCGAAACTATGTCCTCTTTCTAAAGTGGGCTGTAGACCTTCCTTCCTCACCAAGTTTCTTGAGTGAGGGGCTTTCTGCCTAGCTCTGCGGACCTATGACTCCATCTTCAGGTTTAAATGAATCACTCAGAAGTGCACGAGTTAGGTCTGCATATTATTGTAAGTGTGAAACTTCTAAAATTTCTTTAGAATTTTTAGGTGTGTCGGGAGAACTGAAGATCAGAGGCAGTTTCCGACAGATTTTGATGGGGAGGGGAGATTGGAGTTTGAGAGTTAAAAAAGATTTTTTTTGTTACATTTTAAACTTGTTTCTTCCTTACAGGTATGTGTGTANTATATACACGCATACATATATGACATGCAGCCAACCATATTCTCTTCTGTCCCCACCCCATTTTGTTCCCCTGGACAATGTCGTATCCACGTCATTAAGTCCGCACACATATGTCCATACACTACATGACATCCAGGAACACAATGAGAGAGTATGTCCTTTCTGAGACCGGCTTACTGTGAACATGTTCCAGTCTTGTCCATTTTCTGCAAACAATATAACTTTTTTCGCTTTTATGGCTTAAAGAAAGCTCCATGGTATCTACAAAAATGATCACATTTTCCTCACCAACTCTCCTGCATTTGGCACAAGCCAGCGTATCACTGCGACGCTTGCCCTATGGATCCCAGCACCTTGTGCTACTCCTGAGCTAAGGAGCCAGCGTAGGTGCCGAACAGCAGACTCAGAGAGCGTGGCTCCTGCCACTATTGGCTGTATGAACACGGTGTGTTCCACCATTCTGTCTCTACCCACACTAAGTATCCTCCGGGCAGGCTCTGCCAGGACTCGGGCATGAGGTGCACTGCAGACTGAGTCAGCAGATGGCATATCATGGAGTGAGGAAGGGGAGCAGCGGCACTGGATGCTACAGGTCGTTGTGTGAATGGCTTGTACTGAGGGTTCAGAGTGCAGTCTGTGTAGGGAAGGGCCTTGTTCCTGTCTCAGCCTCTTTGCAGTTGAACCCTTTGCTGAAGTCTAGCATTCCTGAACAGGTACCTATGCCTACAACTTGTACACAAGGGAATAGGAGTGACTTTCGCCAGAGGGAGGCAGCACCGTCTTCACACACTTCCCCCAAGGGCTTGGTCTTCCTCTTCTTCTTCCCCTCCAGCTTGCTCCTCTGTGCAGTCTGAGAATACAGTTCAGTGGCAACAGGCCTCTGCACAAGTGCACAGAGTGGGGCCTTCCAAAGATAAACACCAGGAGAAATTCACATTCTAGGTTTGAATGGCCCAGGAAGAGTGTGCGGCGAGAGAAAAGGCTAGTGTACACAGTGAATTCACGCCCCTTTCTTCTGGCATGCTGTGACTATTGGTGGTTGTGTGCGCGCGTGTGTGTGTGTGTGTGCCTGCACACGCAGGCACGTGTGCATGAGCAATTACTCACATCAGCATTAACAATAGCACATGGATTGGCACAGCTCATTGTCGGTTTCAGAAGTGCATGTGACCTCAGATCTGGGGCTCCGCGAGGATAAGTGTGCTTCTTTCCTATAGAGAACCTCCGTGCCAGCCTGGTCAGGGTGGACTCCTTGCTAAGGGTTGTTCTGTTCTTGGCTCAGCACAGCTTCCTGTGCTTTCCTGTTTTGCTGCACGCTGAGTTGTCCAGACTCTCCCAACCCCATCTCAAACTCTACCACCACAGTTCTGAAAATGCAGATTAAAGGCAGACATAAGCATAGCCTGAGCCTGCAGTCACTTGTCCCCACAGTCAGTCCCCAATGATGCCATGTAGAAAAAGTGGATTTTTAGAAACAATTCCTCTTTGGGCTTGGTGAAATTCCAGGATCCCGCGGTCTGTGAGACTGACTTCCCAATTAACAGATGAAACTGACTTTTCAAAAGCCAAGATGACTGACTAGTCCATGTGATAAATGGGCAAGGGAAGTTCTGTTCGCGCTGCTGGGAATTTAGGAAGAAGAAACACCATAGGCAAACATATGCTCTTCCACGCCAACAATGTGACATGCTACAGATGCACTCAAGAGCAGCTTCCTTTTCGTGAGTGCGTGTGTCCGTATCACAGGCTTGGAGCTAAACCTACGCCATTTCCACAGAGACAAATGCAGTGGAAACCCCACGGGGCAGATCACCCCAGCCCATGAGCTTGGGCTGAACAGGTGATTTGAGGCTCCAGAAGGCTGAGAAAGGGGCTGTCTTCTTGTCTGGAAAATAGAAGCTTGGGCTGGATGGTCTTCCCATCCTGTGTTTCCTTCATTTGACATCAACATGGTGTTTTCTTAATCAGCTCTCTGCTGTTTCTTTCAGGATTATTTATTTTCTGTCCTATGCGGGAGCAGGCGTGGGTTTCCAATCAGTCGCAGCGTGATGGCACCTTGTCTTTGCCACTAGGAAGCAGGCAAACTACACTCTGATTTTTAGGTTCAGAACAAGTTTCTTTCTAAGTTCTTAAAGAAACTGTCACTGCAAGTTGCTTGCTGAAGAATTTTGAGTACAAGAATTGGGATGAACTGGGCGTGGTAGAGCACCCCTGTGGTCCCAGTGCTAGAAAAGCTGAGGCAGGAGGATTGCTGTGAGTTCAAAGACCATCTGGGCTACACAGTGAGACCTTCTTTTAAAATGCTGGATCAGAAGAAAGAAGAACATTTTAAGTAGTGGGAATAATTTGTCTAAGATTTTAGTTCTTGAGACAGTTTTCTTGGCTGATTTGTGCCTAATTTGGACACGGTTGTGTGTGTGACACATCTGGGTTCCTTGCTTGTTTTAGATGCTAAGAACTTTAAAGACAACACTACAGTGCTGTTCTAGTGTGAGTGCCGAGTTTATATTCTGTGACCTTCTCTTTATTGTCTTTTTTAATGTTTTGTAGAACATTAAAAAAATCTTGAATAAAAATGTGTGATTTGCCCCAAGTTTTTCTTTAGCAATAGATACTGAATAATCCAACAGGCAGGCAAAATATTGGTAAAAGAAATTTTAAAAAATTCAATCAAATCACACCTTGAGTGACAATGGAATAAAAAAAATGGACATGAATGGAATTTATAAGGCTATAACTTTGGAACAATTCAAACTTAAAATGGCTTGAAGTGAAAACATTCTTAAAATGCCTCATGTAACATAGCCTATAAAATAAAATACAATCACAAACATTGCCGTGTAAAGCTAAAGTTCACTTTGAGACATAGGAAGTCAAAGTAAAGGGACAGGCGCCTAGGAGCCATAGAAACAGCAAGAATCCGGAAGAGCCTGACCCAAGGCAATCCTCAGAACAAGGCACTGGGAATCCTGTCAGCTGCCAGGGACGAGTTCCTGATCCATTTTACCCTTCAGTTAGATGAGACCAAAATAAAACAGCTTGTCAAAATCTCCACACGACAGAGAGAGACATGGGGCCAAAAGTTAACAACTTCCTTTCATTTTCTTTCCAGGCTATTGGTTGCCCAGTTATAAGCTGAAGTCTTCCTGGGCAACCGGCCTGCACCTCGCGGTCTTGTTCGGCCATGTGGAAACCCTGACGGTACTGCTGGACCACAATGCTACCATCAACTGCCGGCCGAACGGGAAGACCCCTCTGCACGTGGCTTGTGAAATGGCCCACCTCGAGTGCGTGAAGGTGCTCTGTGACCGCGGTGCCAAGCTCAACTGCTACTCCCTGAGCGGTCACACTGCTCTGCACTTCTGTACCACACCGGACTCCATCCTCTGTGCCAAGCAGTTGGTGCGGCGAGGTAAGACTTGCCGGGCGCTGATGTGTGTTTACACAACAGGGTTTGATGTGCTGTTCTTATGCACATGGTTCGGGAACTTTCCTTGTCTCAGGTAATGTGATAGGCATTCCAGTACCCTCAACCTGATTCAGTGTATGAAATCATCATATACATGAGTATTTATATTTCTTTTGGTGTGTGTGTTTGTGTGTGTGTGTGTGTGTGTGTTGTGCACTGAGATCATTCATATTGAATTTTAATTTTTCAGGAAGTAATGAATCGTAATTAATCAAGCATTGTATTGATTTTCAGTTACTTAGCATGCTTATTTAGCCCTTATTATACATTAGGTTTTGTAGTGACAAAGAGAAAACAGTTTCTGCTCTCGACTTACATGTATGTATAGATGTAAATGTGAATATATGTGTATATATATTTTAGTAGTGGAGGATGTAATATTAACAAAATAAACTTTAATTATAGAATGGAGAAGTGCTGTCACAAAAAAGCATCATCAATGTTAGGAATGAATGTTAACGACTTCTCTGGATCAAGCAGTTGCTGTTCATCAGACAGTATTCCGTGTAGACATAAAATGCGTTTTGCACATTCTTCAGGCAAGGGCTTATCAGCTTTGGAGAACCATGGATGTAAGCACTTGCATGTAGGCTCCTATAGTTGAACATATTTCTGCTTCCTTGTAATAAAGACCTAGGGTTGAGAAGATGGATAGATAGAGCTGATACCCGGTTTCACAAAGTGCCTGGACCATTTTGTATTTCCACCAGCAATGTGTGAAGGCTCCAGGCGCTTGCCATTCTTGCCAAAATTAATGAAGTAAGACAAATAGTTTGGTTCTCTAATAAGTATGCAACAGTATCTTTTTGCAGTTTTAGTCTGAATTTCCTTAAGGATGCTGTGAATGTCATATGTTTATTTGACAGATATTCACTTTAGAGAAACATGTGTTTAATTCATTTATTCCTTTTTTAAATAATGAGCGGTTTGTTGCTTGGTTATTCTGGATAGAAATCCTTTACCAGATCTGCAGTGTGCACACAGAGTATATTGTGTTTCCTTTTTCCTTTTCCAGATATCTCTCTCTCCCCTTTTCCCTTCTTTTCCTGTTTCATTCCTTCCTCTTCCCCTTCTTTCCCTCCTCCCTCCCTCCCTCCCTCCTTCCTTCCCCCCTTCTCCCTCCCCCTCTCATTTCTCTCTCTCTCTTTTTCATGACAGGGACTCACTAATTATCTAACTAATGCAGTCTTGAAGTGCACTTGAGAGATTGAGACAGGAGGATGACAGGTTTCAGGCCAGTTAAGGCTATAAAAATCAGTGAGAAATTATCTGAAAAAACAAAAGAGGTAATAACATAAATTTAAAAGAATGAGTCTAGACAAAGTTATGATAAATGCTAACATTTAAGTAGCCACAGTGTAAGGAGGAGCCAGTGAGGGAGAGTGGGATGAGCTGAAAGAGAAATTGAAGACCTGAGCCTGCTTACAGTAAAACAGAAAGAGGTGAGTTTGAGAAGCTGGAACTAGCCACCTACAGGAAAAGCTACCAAGATTAAATGAGATATTCCCTAACTCTATTGTTAACAAGCCCATTATAAAAGGCGCTCTCCAGTGCCAGGGCAGATTTGGGTGATGGTAAGATGGGGTTATTCAAATCTGATGAGTTCCCCCTCAATAATGTGTGCAAAATCATCAGCAAAGATGAAGATGAGCAGAAAAGGTAGACATTTTCATGAGCCTTATTCAAGAGGTGGACTCAGAGTCCTGAGACCTAGAAGAAGCTGCTTCTCAAACTGTGGGAATGGCAGGAGGCTGTCAATCTAGCTGTTGCTTCCTGATGAGGCAGGGGAAGCAGGAGGGGGAGGGAGGGAAAGAATGAGAGATGGAAAGGGAGGGTGGCAAGGGCAAGACTGAGAGTGAGGAGAAGAGAGATAGGGGAGACAGAGGAAGAGAATGTGAGCAAGAGAGTGCAGGACAGAGAGAGAGAGAGAGAGAGAGACAGAGAGACACAGAGACACAGAGAGACAGAGACAGAGAGAGACAGAGAGAGACAAGGCGAGAGAGACAGAGTGAGAGAGAGTGCAAGATAGACAGAGAGAGTGACAGAGTGAGAGAAAGAGAGAGTGTAGGACAGAGACAGGGAGAGAGAGTGGGGTAGAGATACAGAGACAGAGAGAGTGACAGAGAGACAGAGTGAGAGAAAGAGAGAGAGCAAGAGAAAGTGAGAAAGGGGGTGAGAAAGTGCAAGACAGAGAGACAGAAAGGGAGTAACAGAGAGGGACAGTGAGCGAGGGGGAGCAAGAGAGAGAAAATGGGAGGGGAGAAAGAGAGAAAGACAGGGAGGGGGATGGGTGAGTCACTCGGTTGCCATGCGCTCGCACCTCCACATGTTATATTTACATCCTCACTCATGTTAGATTGAGTTTTGAATTTTCCTCATATTTTAGTTAGCTTAAACTTTAGATTTTGTATCATAAGAAATTATAGAACTGCTATGCTGTTAGCAAGGGCAGGAGAAACACGCAAGCAAGCAGAGTGTTCTGACGGCTCTCAGACCCTCGTTTCCTGTTTTTCAACGTTTAGAATTCATACATGCACAAAATGAAATATGATGATGTCCATCATCTATTTTCCTTTTCTACCCCCCCCCCAATTATCCCTAATATATTTCCCCTTCCAACTTCTTGTCCCTTTTTCCTTCTTTTTAAAACAATTCAGAGTCTAATTAGTGCCTCCGTATAAGCATGGTTGTGGGGCCATCTAGTGGAGCCCGGGCTGCACAGCAGCGGCCGCCTCGCCAGGGATGAAGCTGCCAACAGCGGGGAGCTCTGCACCTAGTGGCCAAGCAAGGCTCACACACCTGGGCAACACACGACCTTGCAGCTTTAACTAGGGAACCCGACTTCTGGGATTAGAGATTCATTTTTGGACAGGCACGTTTTTGATCCAGGGTTCCTCTTTTTTCCCAGCCTCAAATTCGAGCTTTAGCTGTCCCCTCTAAAGAAGGCTATTCAGAGAGCTGGAGAGAACAGACAAGGCAAGCTGAACACATTTAACATGAGTTTAGGACTGGGCCTGGTTACATCCAGGTCTTAGAACAGGGTAGCTGTCACATATCCACCTAATACTTTCATGTAAGAAGTTTTGATTGGTTAAGGAAATAATTTAAAACACATACAATTTGCAAACTATATACTGGAACTTCCAAGCATTATATGTATTATATATTGCATTTATTATTATATAAATTTCATATACTATATAATATTTATATACAAATATAGTGTATATGTGTATATAGCCATCTTTACACACATATATTTAAAATCTTAAGAAATATCTGATTTACTCTCACCACAATAGAGTCATGTATATTACTAAAATTTTAAAAATACTCATCTACTTAATAGAACATTTTGTTATGCGGTCTGCATCCCATTAAACTATGGATAAGAGTGTTTATTTGTATGCACAGGTATCTATCTGTCTATCTATCTATCTATCTATCTATCTATCTATCTATCTATCTATCTGTTTATCTATCTATCCATCTATCTAGAGTCTTACATTGTAGCTCTGGCTGGCCAGGTACTCAGTCTAAGGTAGCCTCCAATCTGTAGGAGTGCTCTTGTCTCAGCCTCTTGCATGCTGGGACTACAGGCATGGGCTGCTGGATTTGGCTAATGTTTAAATATTTTTAAGTCTCCTTTTATAGGAGAGTATGACCTGTATAGATATATTTTGCTAAAAATTGCATGTGACTATGTGTATCAGGAAATAATATCTAAATTATTCATCAAACACCAAAGCTAATATCTAATAGTATCTTTTTGTAATCTTTGTCTGCTCTGTGTTTGGTGTGTGTGTGTCTGCGTGTGTGTGTGTGCACGCTAACATGTTTCATATTGTTATTGTGTAGACCTCGGAGAGCAACTTTTGGGAGACAGTTGTCTTCTTCTGTCGTGCGGGTTCATCATGAACCATCTGAACCATCTCTCTGTCCCTAAGTAATTTTTTTTTAAAGGTACATCTATAATTAACTTAATGACCCTGGTTTTATGACTTTGTGGTTGTTGTCTCAGGTAAGCCAATCTGTCCTTAGTATGGAGCCCAGGATGACCTTGAAGCTCTGTTTCCCCTCCCTCTAGCCCTAAGTTCCGGGGTTACAGGGCATGCGGTTATGAGTGCGGGGGCCTCACGCACACACCATTTTCCCACCTGAGCTTTACCTCTCTACCTATTCTGAAGTACGATACCTGGTAAATAGGAATCAATGGAAAAGCAAAATTGAAAATGGCATAATTGGGGAGGTTTTGTTTCTGTCTTTTGGGTTTTGTTTTTGTGTTTGTTTTCTGTTTCTTTGGATGAAGGAAAAGCCTGTGCTTGTGGGCCAGTCCTCTTGTCTGGAGGTTCTGGAAGACTGAGGGACCTGTGTGCCTTTCTGTGCATCTTTATGTTCTCAGCCCAGGGGGCAGTACTTGCCAATCAGTCCTTGATCAGAGTCCAGCTCCAGGAGCCCCAAGTACATGGCTGCCCTTGCTAGCCGAGAATTAGTGCAAACCGTCATGTTCACAGCTAATGAAAGGAAGCCCTGGTCAGTTTCACACCCCTGGCCTCCAGGGGATTCAGCTGAGGGCTAGATTCTGTCCTCCTGAGATTATGTTGTAGGCTCTTTAGGGAAGAAGTCACACACATCTCTTTAGGACTGGACAGAGGGAGCTGAGACAGTACACAAGCAAGGACAATCAGGCAGGCTAACGCGGAGCTCAGGACCAGAGAAGTGCATTGGAGAAGAAGCAGTACCATGGCAACTGAAAACCGATGCGATTCCATTTGCTAGTTAATGGGCTCTTTGAGGAAAAGGCTAATTGAGTCCGAAAAATTGCATGCAATTTTCTCTTAAAGGATTTCGCCCTGATTTTTTTTTTCCACTGTTGTTCAGCGGGCTTTGTCCCACGCTGGATTTTGCCTGCTATTTTCTGTTTGCCTTCCTAGTTAATGCCG